GAATATTGTATGCCTGGTATGTTCAAGGTGGTCTTTGTAGTATGTGAGAGCAGCTTTTCTTCTTTACACATTGATGAAATTGCTCTCAATGGCAATTTTAAGGAGAGTTCTACAAGTATAAAAAGAGAGCCAGCATTTATTATTCAATCATAACTTTCTTTCACATTATTAATGTATTTATTTTCTAAACCAGTTTTGCCTACTAACCAATTCATACTTCTGTAGGAACTTACGTGACATTTGAACACCTGGATGCAGAAATATCATTGGCTAATGAAAGGACTTTTAGGAAGCAAAGTTTATTGCTGTTTTCCAAGTGTTCTCTATTTATAAAGAACATTAAGACACAACCATACATTTATACTGTAGAGAAGAAGTGAAAAGTACACATGATTTTGTGAGGAACAGCACTGGTCTTGCTTAGAATTTATATTTTGTAAAGTAAAGGTGACAGAGGACCATATGGAAATCCACGATAGAATAAAAATGCAAGTAAACTAGTGACAGACGAGGGAAATGTACAACACATTTCCACACCAGTATTACTGGCAGTATTCACTCAGTCTCTATATATCAAAAAAACCCAGGATTTGAAAGAAATAGTAATAAAGTCAAGTTACTAAAAAGTAAAATGAGTCAGAAGTCCTAGAATATGTTCCAGAGAAAATTTCAGTAATACAAGATGGAGTTTGTGTGCATGGGTTTGTGTTACTTGTGAAAAGCACATCTGGATCCTAAGTAAGCACAGGAATATTGCGGAGATAGCATTTTCACCAGTTAATTGACTAAGGAGAGAAGGCAGTTACAATGGGTAACAGCTGAAGATTGCAACTGTTTGCAAATGATAATCACTATCTCTACAATGGGAACTCTGACAAATCTTTCCATTCAGAAATATCATGACATGAAATTCACTTAAGCAAAAACAAACAAAAAAACCCCTAAGCCATACCCATTTTCCTTCTATGATAGTTTCATGGTTTGATACTTGTCCTGGACATGTACTTGTATATGTATTATATTTTAAAATAGAAACAACTATGAAATCTTATGATGATTGCTTCTCTGTCTCTGCCTAATAACATAGCCGGAGAGTTCTCCTAACCTCTTCAAAATTTGATGGTTTTAATTTTTTTTTACTTATTATTTAATTTTTTTAATTTTTTTTTTTTTAGTTATTCTCCAAGATGTTTGTTTTGTTCCGAGAGACATGACACACCAATTCTAAACATAAGTAACCTGTTCAAAGCTGGCCACAAGGCAGTGATATTTACTTCCTCTGACAATATCTTTAAGATTTATGAATAAAATTCAAACAACAGCACAGAAGAAATAATTATTACTATTCCTGAAATACTAAGTAATTAAATCAGTTCCTATCATGGCTGATCTAAGCATAGAAGATTTTAAAATACAATCAATCCAAATGATTGACATACAAGTGAAACCGAAACAAACTTTGGAGGACTCCAGGTGTGTACAGGTCTTGCATCTTTTTTTTATTTACAACTGAAAACTATCTGCTTACTATTTTTATGATGTATTTTATCTTTTCACCCTAAAATCAAATCTTTTTTTTTTTTTTTAAATATTGCAACTTTACAAACAATTTAACAAATTTCTCTTTTCCTACTCAGTTCAGTCTCTGCGGGCATTTACATAAATTGATTTTATTCCAGCGACCTTGCCTGTCAGATCTTGATATCTTGTCTGATTTTAATTTCATTGGCTCAGCAAGTTATCTAGGTGTTGAAAGTTGTGTAAGACACAAGCCTCACTGTTTTTGGAATCTTTCATTTTAGGTAAGCGACAGACATTCACTCCGAGACAGTCATCACTGCAGATAAATGATTACAGCTCTCTCTTAGGGAAGAGTGTCTCACTAAAAAGCTTTTCTCTGTTACTTAGAAAATGTCTTCCTCTTTTCTTCTGATTATTTTTGTATCTTTCTCACATTCTCTTTTCAAAAGCCAGGCTTTAAAATGGTCGGGGAAAAAAAAAGAATATGTAGTTTGTTATTCTACTCCTTTTCTGCTGTAGAGACAATACTTTTTTCTTAGAGACTGAAAGAGTAGCAGAGGAAGAAATGGATCCTTAGCAATCTAAATGAAATCAAGATGTTGAATAAGCAGGACAGCATCCTTTTTGGATTTTTAAAATCATTTCACATAAGTATCTATTTTCCTTGAGTCTATTTCCTAGAATCTTTGGTAAAAGGCTACATTAAGCAAAAATGGTACTTTTGAAGGAAACAATATAGCTCAACATTAAGGTCTCCCCCCCCCTTTTTTTTTTATAAATTATATAGATAGATATTTTTTTTCCATTTTTCTGAGAATTTTAACTTTGATTTCCTGCTTTCCTCTCTTGGATTCTTAACTCAAAGAAGCATTATTAATCACACCTTGATTTTTGGCAAGTTAATGCCACTCTTGCATTTGTGGTTTGCTCCTATGTTCCTTTCCAGAGAAAAGAGTAGACTCTGCCTACAGGAGTAAGGCCAAGGCTAAGGTTTCCCAAGTGAACGAGTCGCATTGAAAGTAATCTTGGGATATTTCCATCATTCTCACCCTTTCTTGCAGTAAAAGGGAAAAAATACCCAAACCCGGAAGTATTTTATTCTGTAGGAAATTCTGCAGGTAAACCAGACATGGATCTTAGCACCATTCTAATGTAAATTGTTACTGACAAGACTGCATTATTCGTGCAAATGTTTTAGAAAGTTATCCTTGCTATTTGTAGTGCATTTTCACCCCAATCCTAGCAACTGTAACTCTTGAATTTCAGTTGATTTTTTGACCCAACAGACACTCTTAAATGAGACTCAATTGAGCAGGCATCGTAACTGCTGAGAAAAAGGACTGACTGGCCAACAAAGAAAGAGAGGTTATAGTAGAATTATTGATAAAATGTATACCAATAATTCTCTTAAATCCTCAATAAAGCAGCACACCAGACAACAGGATAACAAAAGTCCTTGTCTTATTCCTCACTTATCCACCTCCAGCAAAGTAACAGAACCCACAGCATTAGCAATTTAAAATAGGAGGGAAGCAAAGCAGAGCTCAGCTGGAGGAAGAAATTTTGGCTTCCATTTGGTTTTGATTTTCTTCACTGACTGTTTTTCTGCACTTCATAAAAATAGTATCATACTTCTTTCATATTACCAAATCAAATAAGAATTGTGCAGCAGGACTCTTTGAACTGGGTGTAAAATATACTGTTCATAATACTTCAGTACAGATACTAAGTGAAAAGATACAGAAGACCTCAAAGGAAAAACACCTCTGCTTTACTTCCTAGTAAATCTTTAATTTTTAGTGGTGACACTTTTTAGGTTGGCAGTAAGGGGTATTTATGATAGCCAAAAGCTTTTTATACAACACTAAGAATATTAACCAATAATTTACCACCATCCCTAGCCCTTACATTCACCTCCTGTTCCTGAATCTCTCCTGTAATAGGAGAGATTTGTTTCAAACAAAAAAACTGACTGTGGATATCCTGAACGGATATTAAAGACCACAAAGAATTTCAAAACTTATTAAACATTAGACAGCATTAACATTCTTATAAAGTACATAAATTGTCTATTTCCAAATGTTATTATTTTTTCTGGTTTCCAAATAAACCCTGTTGCAGAACTATACTTCGCAAAAACAGGACTTACACATTTTCTGATGCAATTTAATTGAAGATTTATAACTTAAGAATTAAATGTAGATATTTGTAGTCACTGCGTCAAAGCAATGACGTTCTTTAATATTCACTTGTTTCTTTGGAATGCTTTTAGTTCTCAGAAGTTCTTTGAATACTGACTCAAAAAAGACAAGTCTCCTTTTCAGAATCCATAAGAGGTGAAACCATTATCTTTATGATTTTATTGAAGGCAATTCTCTTTATTTTAATCCCCCCCCTCCCAAATGCTCCATAAACACCTTTTATAAAATAAAACCATCTGTAATAAAATTTCCCATTTCTCCACTATGTCAGCATTTTTCTACAAAATCAAAAAGTGAAGCTATCTTGTCTTTCAAAAAATATTTTTCACCGTTTAATACATTTAGAATGAATTTTGGCTGATGCATTTGTTCAGCTCTGAAAAAGTTCTAGACACACAAAATCAATCCTTAGATAATTCTATAACAAGTAAGCAATGAATTTCCTGTTAAATTGGCCAAAAAATTGCCTAGATTTGGTTGCCAGCATTCTACCAAAATGGATTATTTAGGAAAACACAACAAAAACAGAAAAAAAATCCTCTTCAAGAGTCAGTTAAGCCAAATGATTAAACGTAGCTTCTCCTACCCATATCTTCCTGTTGAATCCAAAGAAAGAGTTATCTGCAGTTATTTAACTGCAAATACGATTTGTATTGTTATTTTTATTATTATTTAAATTGTTACCAAGAAGCAAAAGTTACGTGGTCATCTTAAGCTTCCTAAGCCTAATGCATATACCTATATTCAAACTAAGAAAATGACACTGCTACCATATAAACATTTTTGGAAAATGAAAGCATTCTTATACTTACTCTTTGTAATGGACGCTGAAATTTAAATTACTTGTAAGTACAGAAAACACTTACAATCTATTTCGCTATGATAATTTGGATGGAACCAATTTATATACTGAAAACTACAGAGACCACAGGATTTTAAGAACAGGTGAGTATTTCCGCAGGGACATAATAAATTCAAATCTAACAACTCTCATAAAAATACCAGCTAATTGAAATCTGTTGCCTAGTATACTTACAGTACTTAAATCTTTTGAAAACGCATTAAAACTACCAAACTAAAAGAACAGCAGTATCAAACAGGAATAATTTTTAGCCAAATGCCTGCGGCTGCTTTTATGACATTCCATATTTTGTCATTATAGACTGGCTTAAAAACTTGTATTATTGCAGCAGCTTTAATAAGTAGAATTTAAGTGGTAGACTGTTGCCAACACATCACATATCACTTTAACATCAGTATATGTTCTAGGTTTCTCACCTTGTCAATCATTTTACGGGCTTCCATTTCTTCAGAATTGGGATTTTCCAACTCAATAGTGTAAGTACCTTTGTCACTCTGGTCATCCTCATTGTCCTTTTCAGTAGCAGTAGAAATATGTTGGCTTTTCAACTTTTTGTCCATCTCCTGGTTCTGACTAGGCCTATGGCCAAGGCTTCCTGAACTCCTTAACAATGCAGCTTGTAAGACAGGTAATGCAGCAGAGGGTTCTTCTGATTTTTGTTTTAAAAGTTTTGCATGAACACCATGTACTGCTCTGTGATGCGATGAGCTAGCTTGCACAGATGAAGGGACTGCTTTCTCTCCTGACGTAGGTTTCACTCTTTCAGCTCGCGCATGAGGTGTTGGAGATGGAGATTCTGGGCACAGAGCTCCTACGTTCTGAGAAAAGGAGTAAGAACGTCTCTTTCGAGGATGGTCTTCATCAAAAAATTCAATCATAAAGGCAGTCTGACTCAAACCGGCTTGCTCTTGCTGCTTTTCTGCAGAATGGACTTTCTGGTATGACTTTTTCAGCTCTGTATGATGATGCCTTAAGTGTTCTTCAAGTGCTGCCCGCTTACTGTAATGCCGGTGTGCACCAGCATTTTCTGAATCACTTTGTGTACCATCATCATGCTTATTCCCTACAAGCAAAGCAAAAGAATATATAGCACAATGAAACAAAAAAAACCCCAAAACCAACCCAACACATACAAAAGAAACCGGCAAACTAAGAAAGAAAGAATTTCAAATTGGTTTTCTGTTTAGACTGCAACAGCTTTCAGTACCTGGCTCTGCAAATTTTGCACAGCTCCTGGTAATGCATTCAACTTGCTATGAGTCAAACAATGAAACACTTTATAAGCTGATCAGCAACAGCAGTGCGTTTCAATTACCCTTTTCACCAAAATTCTCATCTGTGAATACTTATCAGTGACTTACAAAAGCCAGTATTTTACCAGCTGTACTGTAGTATGTTTCCCAATTATATTAATTTTGTTACACAGCCAGTTGATTTCAAATGACTACTGAAACATTTTAGGCAGGGTTAAGAGAAAAAAGAAAAACCTACAATAGTCCTTCTGGTAGCTGAAAATAGCCATTGAGAGCCACAGTTCATATTGTTGGATTCTTCACACATTTACAACAGTTTATCATGAGAAATGTCTACTGAAAATTGGAATGAATTCTTTATTACTCTTTCCAAGAAGTACAATGAGTTTTTCCATCATTCATTCCCCTCAGCATCTGATGTATGCATGTAAAATGGTTGTTATTACTTATTAATTCCACAAACTACTTTGAGATCTATGAATAAGGAATACGTATTTAATAAATCATATATACGCATATAAATATACCTTGTAATAACACCTGAAAATGCATGGAAGGCTGGATACTCATACCCAGTAAGTCACATTTAACTCAGAGCAACTTCATGTACAATGGAAGTGTCTACACTTTTAAGTTTTAGCTCAGTTCCTGGGAACTTCTTTGAACTCTTTTGGATCAAGTCTTACTCATGTATACATAGAATGTACAATTTATCTTTTTTTATTTTCAAGAGGATAGGTTTTTTTAAGGTTTTCTCACTTACATAGTTAGGATATGCAGCTACTATTCGGTTAATTAGTAATCACATATTGGGAAACCTTACTTATCAGACTAATAGCACTGAATACACAGCTGAAATCCTAACTTACATTCCTGTTTGCTACTTATTTGTACAGTGCCTAAGAAAATGATGTGATGGTTCATATACTTCCAAATAATAACAATAAATATCAACACCACAGTGAAAGTCATAACATATAATTTTAGCAGTTTGATTTCAGTACAGGATATTGCAAGTATTCTCTACCTTTATGATTTAAAAAAGTACAAGTAATGAGTGAGAATACAAACAGATCACAGAAGATTACAAAATTCAGATATTTATTATGGCCATATGCATCCCATAACTTACACCTCTTTCAGATGAAATTTTATCAAACTTTCAGGAGTTTCTGCTAGGAAAAGACTAAGGCCCTGCAAACAAAACCCTTCCTATTTACCACAGTGACATGGCTAATATTTTAAAGAATGTTCATGAATATAATACAGTATCATGAAGACCAAAGAATGCTCTGTGATATACTCTAGAAGAAATATTATGCTATTATCTTAATGCTAGCACATTGATATAATCCTGTTTTCAAAATTTTATTTTTTAGCTTAATTTAGATGAGTCAGCCTTAAAAAAGCAGACTTCTGATCAGTAAGACAAAGCACACTGTACCCAGTCCCAGCCGGTTAAAGAGCTAGACATGATAATGTCACAGAATGAAGAAAAAAAGGAACTGCAGAGTTAAGACGCTGAAATTAAAAACCGAAAATAAAAGAGGCTTGAAAAAGTTCTGCAGAAGTTTTCATTCTGAAAGTTTGAATGTCACTGGAATCTTCACCTGAACATCAAAACTACTCTCTTCTCTATTCTGCTAAGTGGCATCCAAAAGTAAGTACACTTTTCACACTTAACATTTGATTTAATTTTATTTGAAGCGTCACTGTCTGCAGTAAATGAACATGTATAATCACCTGGAACTCCATTCAACAGCAGCATTCTTATAAATACAACATTCTGCAAGCTTAGTATAAAAATTGAAGCTCTTCGTCTATTTCAGATTCCTGACTCAAACTTGACTCCATCATACATGATCGATTTAGTCAGAATAACTGTATGATGTATTCTTTGCAATAAATGATTTCCATAGAGCACATGAATATTCACAGAACATATGCTATTGGAAGAGTTGCTAAAAGCATAAATTGAACTTCACAGCTCTGATTCTAAAAAGCAATTCAGCTTTTTAAAGTAATGCATGGGAAAAAGTGAAATATATAAAATTTAACTAAGGTTTGGGTTTTTTCCTTTTCCCTTTCAAGATCAATGTTTTAAATACCTGATGTTTTCAGCTGTACTAGAATATCTCCAATTAGTATACTTATTGTAAGACGATTCAGGATTTGGTTCTCTATCCTCTTTTTAAGACTTAATACTGCAATAAAATTTCCCAGCACAGATCCTTGTGCGCATGTGGAGTATCTGTGATTTCAACTGAACTCCGCAAGGGCTCAGGGATCCACTCACTGGATGCTGGTGAGGAATCGTTGCTTTCAGAAATAAGCATAGCTGGAATTATTCACTTTACCTTTCAGTCTCTTCAAGTACACTGGAACGTCACTCTTAATACTTTTGGAATCCTCCTCTGTTGGTTCCCATATCATTCTAGGAGGATTGTTCTGTGCTAGCCAATCCGCTACTTTGCTCTCTGCGGCCATCATCACTGTTTGAAGCCCAGGCAGGTCCTGACCACTGGAGGAAGAAGGCTTTTTTGACTTGTGACGCTGTTCCGATGTGAATTTTGTCACGTGATCTTTGATTGTTACTTTTCCTGGAGTGTTGTCATCAAATTCAATGGTAAAGGAAGCATGCCCTGCACCTGCTGCATGGGAGCTTTGGGTGTCTTTTGTTGGAATTTCATGAATAGTGCTCTCTGCTACCTGTGAAGGTTGCTGGAATTCTTTTGTAGGGATTTCAAAATAACTTGGCTCCCTACAGAAAGGATAAAGTTCTTCATTTGCAGCTGCAGATTGCTCCTCAGCTTGCTTGGCATCTGTGCTGCATCCTATTAAGAAAAATAAAAAATAGATTTCACAATACTTGGGTACTTCAGGTTCTTCAAGAAGTTTCCGAACTCCTGTAAAGGCCACTTGAGTAATTTCTGGAATAAACAGTAAGAAGATTGAGCAATGTAGTTCTGGAAAATAATTCCAGAATTACATATAAAAAGTATTACTGAAAAGACAGCACAAGCTTTGGCTGTAAGGAATGTAAAGTGGCAAAAAGCTCACTTAGAATTTTTCAAAAATTTTTAGATGATGTAAAGGTCAGATGAGTTATTAGCACATGGAAAACAGGTAAATCACATTAGAGAAATAGTTGAGATGATCATTATTGCAATTCTAATCTATCAGAAAAAACATCAAATCAAGGTGCCCCCAAAACAAGTGCTAGTGATCTGGCTTTCATTTCCTGCAGTGGACAGCTGGTACAATTTTGTTTGGTAAAATTCTTTGGAAAAACAATTCACACATTAGTGCAAGATAAACATTAATTCTGGCTTGAAAAGTTTAACACTGATAAGCATTGGAAAGTGTTTTGGAATTCAAACACTTTATGTTTCTACAAAAGACAAAACCAAAGAATTGAGCTAAATCCTACTGTTATCTGCTCTTATTTTACTTGTTTCCATAATTTGTAGATGAACAGAAAAAGTAACAATAGCTGGAAGCATGCAGAATGTTAGCAAACCATGCTCTAACTGGGTAAAGAAAGCAGAATGTCGAAAAAGCATGGGGTAGTAATTGAAAGTCCCACTGTATAGCCTGAACGAAGCTTAAAGCTTCTTGTGGTTGCAGCAAAGCTACCAATGTGCCTTCAAGAAAACAAACCTTCTGGTTGCGTTTCATGAACTAGTAAGCTAGCCAAAATATCTGGTGTAGAGATGTGCTACAAGCAACAGATGCTCAAGATGTTAGCAACAATGGCAAGTTACATTCCAGCAAAAGAATTCTGAATAGTTCCTATGCGATTTATCATGCACCACATTAAGATGTTTAAGAGATCATTTTAGGTTGCCAAGTAAAGGAATAAGAATGCAATTAATAGATCTCTGGTGCTGAAAATAGCCACGCTATATCAGCTGAAATAGTTAACATTTGTGTATGAAACTATTATGCAATAAGGTAGCAAGAGAAACATTTTTACTAGAGTCAGGAGTTTAAGGGGTAAAGGATGCAGAATGGCATAATGCGCCTCTGCTGTTCTTCACAAACACATGCTTCTTGTGAAGATTCAGGAAAAGGTTAAAAATTAAAAAATAGAAAAGGATAGTAATCTGATACAGAGAAATAGAACTAATTAAGGGACAGCATAATAGCTGGAGAAGTTAAAAAAGAATGATGTTATGGAGTGAGAACAAAAATAGTACACATACTTTATTATTGCCATGCTTGGATACCAACAGGATAAAATAACTCTGATGCAGGTAACACAGCTGTTTTAATTTATTTTATCTAAAAGTAGCTGTTGCAAACACAAAAGATGTTCAGAATTCAGACAGTTTTTATATTGTGCTGTTGCATCCCAAGAATACTAGCTGAGGTCAGCTACCTCATCTCTGTGGGGTAGTTTTCAGGCACTACAGCAGCAACTCACTACTCCCCTCCTGGGAAACGGAATGCCTTTTTAGTCCCCTTCCTGAAAACACTTATGCCAGCAGACAAACAATACACAATGAATATACTTTACTGATGCAAAGGTCATTAAAAAAGCTTCTATGTTTAGACAGAAAATGTACAGAAATAAACAAGTCGCGCTCTGCAGCTACTAGATTTTTGGTAAACTACCATCACTCTCCGTTTGTTTCACCCAGCTAACAAGCTGGAATGGATCAAGCTCTAGTAGGATCAAATCTAGAGCCAGGATCCTTACAGTATGCAACACTGTCATTGAACAGGAGAGTAATCCACCAGGGAGTCAGTCCACATGCACCTTATTTTTTCCCCTATGGTTCTATTCAGAGCTTCAAGCCTACAATTTCATGCAATTCCTGTAACCAATAATTAAGCACGATACAGTGTTCAATGCTCCTTCAAAAGATAACTGGCTAATACAGTATGTTTTCAGATATATTTCTACTTTTGGGCCAGGTAAGAGCACTCTACTGGCCACACAACAAACAATATTTTTCAGTAAATATGAAACAACTGGTTCATCACCATCTTTTGAAAATTATAAGATTGGAGCCAAACTGCATCAGATGTATGATAGGCTTAGGATGAGGGGATCTGTAACACTAGCTTGTCAGCATTGATGGGCAACTTCATAAAAAAATTTTCCCTGTGAAACTTGATTGCACCAAATTTAACATTTGAAATCATCTGTTTATACTATAATGATATGCACAGTATTTGATTCTAATATTTTTGATTAAACAGATGCTATAATATCGTTTGAATCTAAATTATGACGGAGTGAGTTTAATCAAGTGAGAAACTGAACTACAACTAAACTGTAAATTTTTCTAAACTAGAAAAATTCTTAGAAATGATATAATGAGAAATATCTGAAGTACAAGTTATTTTTAATTACCTAAAAATCCTATTTTCAGTCTGAAGTACTTGTATTTTTAGAAGAGTTAAATACATCAGAATTGATCAGCATAAGGAATTGAAAACAATGAGGAAACAAAAAATTAATATAGATCCTGATCTGAACCACCTTTTGGAATTTTTCACCCAAATTCTAAATGCAAGTCCTTACAGCTTTCTAAGTATTACAAAGAGTGATCTATAAAATAGCCTTACCTTTGAAATCCTATTATAAAAAAAGTCATCTGCCAAGATGAAGGAAATTACGTATCAGACTAAATACAGATAGCTTTAAAAGAAAACCCTCAAGCAAATACTGAAGATAGTGGTCATCACAGCTCTATAATTTTTAAACAGAAGCAGCATAGTATCTGTACAGCAAAGGCGGCAATTGGGTGGAACTGAAAGTATGTTTCGGGAAAACGAGGGGACAGACGGGTTGTGAACTGCAATCTCTTCAGGAACTGAAGAGATTTCTGAACTGGCAAGAGTGAAAGGCAAAGGGCAGAAAAAGAACCAGGGTATCTGTAAAGAAGGAGCTCTCATTCTACAAAGGTCTAGAGCTACAAAAAACAACTGTGCAACAGTTTCAAGGCAAGAAAGGAAGCACTAACTGTAGCTGCTGCACAGGGTAGTGAGACTATTAAGGAAATAATGAGTCTCGGAGAGGCTAAGAGGGAAACTATGTAATATTTGGGAAATCGTAGGCTTAACCAAATGGAGATTCAGGGAGATTCTTTACTGGAATAATCTCAGAGATGATCATGAGAAAAGCAACATTCACTTTGTGACGTTAGCAGAATTGATTACACTTGCTAGGACTTTTGGGGTTTTAAGTTTTATTTCTTAATCTGTTACACACACAAATAGTCAGAATCTTAAAATTTTACTTGCCAGCCTGGACAAGAAATGTCATAGGTGTTCTGTGCTATTCAACACAATCTATCAGATATGCAGGAAATTGCCTGTGTATATGAATATATTTGTCATCTGCAAAGATAGGATGAAACTTCAGAAAATATTTTGCACAGTCTTCAGATTTTTTAGAAATGTTCTTTTCTCTTTCTCTCTATATTACTACTTTTTATTTCCCACTTACCTTTTAGGTTCTTTTTTTGCTTTATGGCTGAAGCATATTTTCCATTTGTTATTTAAAGACAAGATTGTGAATAATACATGTAATGATTCACCTAGTATTAAATAAGATCTTTCTCTTTTAATGTTGTCATAACCTGCCTTATGAAATAATATCAAAATTGCTCTCTCTAAATAAAAATATAAAATAGTAGTGTATACAAATACCCACCTCATAATATATCATTTAACTGCATGCTTTAAAGGAGTTAAAGTGAAAAAAGTGCAAAACAAATCTTACTTAAGTATATTGCTGTGATAGCTCTAAAAAGTTCTGTAAACTCCCCATGACATACTGTGCACATTCACTGCTATAGCTTTGCAACGCAAGCCTTACATATGCAGCACTTGCATGTATTCCAGGCCAAAACTCAGCAAAATTCTAGAACAAACTTCTAGGAACTTTAATGTTAATACTAGTGATTAAACACGTGTGTGTAATCTCCTACACATACTGATTACGCTGGAATTTCTAAAATAACAGTCAGCCTGCTTTACCTTAAAATGACACTGTTTCTTAAATGTAAGGAACATTTAATCTGATACATTGTTATGCAATGCTGGAATTAAAAAATACTTCATGCCAAATGGAAAAAATTACTTCAGATTCTTAAAGTCTGTTTAAAAATTTACTTCTATGTTTTCTTAGATTTCTGGTAAAGGCATTAATGATGTAAAATTCTACAACTACTACTGAGATCAGCAGAGAATGCAGTTTTTTCTTTTCCAGGAAGTGAGAGTGTAACACATGGCAATAATAATAATTACACACCCAGTAAACTTGCCAATAACATGTAAGTTTAACAGCTGCGGAATAGATAAAGTCACACCATAGGTGTATATGCAACTGTTCATTTTAATACGGACTAGTAGATCTATGGATCATTAAATTAGAGCAACATGCATGTCTGAAAAAAGCAGAAAGGTTTTTTCTTTTTAAAGTTTTCCAGGATATTCTGCTCTGTTTGCAAATAAATTCCATTAGTGAGTTTCCATTGTGATAGAAAGACAGTGACATTGAAATAATCTTATTAACTTGAGACTGTAAAGACTAATTGTCTATTGTTGGCTTAGCAGAAACAAACCTCCCATTTCAATCTCCTCATTAAACCTCTCCCCATCTGTTAAAATTCATGCCTTCTTTTCTATTCAGTGAATAATCATGTACTAAATCATTAAAGCATGAAGCAGATTCTTCATAGGATTAATTTGTTAAAATTATATCAGGCTTTATCAATTGGAGTTACTGAACAAAAAGTTTAAGAACTTACGTACGTGAATTCACCTGTAACGTACTTACTTTAGGCAGTTTATATCAAGAAGCATGTTCTAAATTGGTGTTTTAAATACTTAATACAATTTAGCCCATGAAAGAACAAATAACTGCACCAATCTTGAATGTCTTTTATTAAATTAAAGTTCGTTTTTATTTTAAAAATATCCGAACATGACAGTCTTGTGGACTTTCCAATTTCCTTTCATTAAAGCGTTTCTTTATATTGATTTCCAATCATTATACTCATCTATGTTATAAAACTGAAGTGCATGAAGAAAATACATACTAACTTGTTGAAAATTAACTTAACGTTTTCATGGAATGTAATTGTAGGACAAAGGGGCCCAAAAAGCTTATGTCTTTATTTTACAATTGTATGAAAACATTCAGGATATTTTTTTGCACACTTCTACACAAACATAGTTAGTGTTCTGAGATTGAGGAAATGTGTCCATAGAGGCAAATGTGAACTCTTATCTGGTCTGTCTTCTCAGGCTCTCTGCCAACACTACTAAAAACATCTACAACAGTCAAAAAACAGACTAGTAAAACATACAACTAATGTCTACTCAGAGATTAAGTGATTGAGATAAAGAAATCACTTGTCTATACATGGGATTTTAGTTCCTCATCCTCCCAGATTAAATTGTTTTGCAAAAATGTCAGGTTTGTTTCTTCCTATAACATTTCAAATAAGCTTTTGTTTAGTATGTGCTTATTCAAACTGAATTCCATTCGTGCAGATTTATTAGTCTTTCAGTTTGAGGAAACAGAAGCTATCCCTACACTCTACTTAGATTAATTCTATTCTTAGGAGATAAATTCATGATTAAACAACAACAACATAAACAAAAGGGATTTTTAACATATGTTGTACATTTTAAAGAAAAGAAATGTTGTATTTGCCAAGAAGGCTCCGGGCCCAAATTTTATTTTTATATATAGTGTATATATCTGGAAATCAAACAAACAAAATCAGTTAAACACTGTAGAAAATATTAGTCCATCTTCTCTATTCATCATTTACCTTATGATGACTTCACTAAGGCAAAACATGGCAAAGATATCCCCATCACTGAAGTTCTGCCTAGAACAAACGTATTTTCGTCTACTACTGAAACAGATTGCACCTCCTTGACTAGTTTGAGAGGAAGTTGGAATCTTATTTTTCTTTGAACTCAGGAACTAAGACAGAAGCACTGATCACTTTCTGAAAAATCTCTTGGTAAAATAAATGCAAGAGCATGTAAACCATTTGATGCAATATTGCTTCTGAAAAAGCAATTTACAATTATGAAAAAATAAGAATAGGCATGCTACTAAATAGAAGCTGGAATCTTGTGTCATACCTTGTTAATGGCATAGCATCAAAACCACAGACTTCAGGATATTACTTTTTAATAATCCTATATTTAATGAGGGCAAATAATGTGGCATGTTTTTTAAAGTAAAACAATATAGATGGATACACACGAGTATAAAAAGCTTGATGAATTAATACTTTTGTTATATTAGTTTGCTGCAGACATTGGCATCTAAGCAATAAAAACACAGATACTAGAGACTACCATCCCTGTTTTGGCATATACAGCAAGATACAGTCACAAGTTTCATAGCCAATAGTTAATGCTTCCTGTAATCTGGAAAGTAAGGAGAATCATGTGGCTAGCAAGTCTATCAAAGGCAAGACTCGAAGGCAAGGACTTAATTCTTTTTCTTTGTAACTGATGACTTACGCGCTTTTCCTTTTTGTTGAGAAAAATGGAAGTGGAACAACATCTAACAGTCATTGTCTCATTATTATTGCCATTAGGAACAAAATTTGGATTTCTTAGGAATGCTTAAAAGTGTTTGAAGAACACATTTCTAGACAAGATTTGAACTGTAGAGTTATAGATTACTCCTGTAGGCTATTAAATCTGTAAAAAGTCTCCACAGGAGCACGCAATAGCATACTCTACTCATGCTGCGTACGGTAGAGAAATTTTTCACCAAAAAACCAATCAAATAAGAAAGCATTCTATAACTGTACTGCATTATGACGCAGTTCTTTTATATGTGACAAAGCTGTTTAAGTTGCATGAAAACTGTCACTAATTCAAATCTTTTCACTTGCTTTCTTTCTACTAGACCAATCTTAAGGGACTTACTTTACTGTCCAAGTTGTGACAACTTTAGACTAATACGAAAAAGGTCATTAATGGCTATGACAAAAAGCTAACTCCAAAGACGTTGACTTCATTACATTGAAGTGTTAATTTAGTTTGATTTTACATGTTTTTAGAGTACTCCAATTCCTGCAAAATAGGATTCATGATAACCAAAGCAACTACTATTACAGGAAGAGAGAAATCCCCACCTCAATTAAAGTATTTTAAAAAACTCCAAACTTAAAACTGTTGGGCCTAAATGTGTATCTAAACAGCTAAACAAACATGGTTGAATTTTGTCCTAGCTTGAGTAAGTTTTAAGGTTATTCTCTTTATTAGAATAGCAGTCACTTTATTTATACACCTGATGATAGATTTAGAAGCCTAATTATAGGCTATGAGATTTAAGTTTTGGCAATGCATACTGTGTATAGACAAGCTAACTAAAAAAAAATCTGTATTACAGGGAAATGAATATTACCAGTTTAACTTTAGACTATGCAGATCTTTACTGCAAGAACTTTGAAATGTAATTTCCACTAATGCAGTATTATTGAATTATAGGAGAGAATGTTAGCATAGGCCACCTTAAATAGCTAAAAGTCAAATACAATAATAATATAGCACCATTTATTTTCAGAAATTATTTTGATAAAATATCCCTATGCAATCTCTAATTTTGAGCATATAAAATGACAGATATGGATTAAACTGATAAATAGGACACACTGGTTCAGGTAACATTATTTTCTATATTTACTGACAACAAATTGTATTATACACTAGAAAACTGATACGTTATATGTGAATTTTTTTTAACTACCTTAATTTTAATAGGTTTTCATCTATGCAGACTGTCTCTAAAACTTCCAAACTTTAATCTGTTTAGTTCCCTAGTTAAGAATATATGTACTTTACTAACGAGCACAAACCCCACAAAAATAAGACAACAGACTTACCTGAAGCCCCCGTCTCATGCATTTTTTCTTCATGCTTGCTATCTGGCTTACAACCACTTTTTTCATCAGCTTCGTCATCACCCCACCAGGCAGGCTGTCCATACAAAGGTGTCCCACGAGGCATGGCAGAAAGATCTATAAAATCAGCCCAAAGAAGAGGAAATTACTTCTCTGTTTAGTTGTGATATTTAGGTTAAAATCACATGAAGAGCAAGTCATTTGCTGGACCGTTTCTCCTGGAAGCTGAAGTGAATTGGTTGCATGCACTTGCCGAAATACAAAACAAACTTGGAGGCTGGATAACTGATCCGAGTTCTAAATATAAAAGCTTACTAATGACCTGATCAAAACTTCTGGCACAAACGTTTATGCAAAGGCAGCTGACATCTCTTATTGTTACCCTGATATATCTGTAAACATTATTTTCTGCTTTCAGTTTGAAGTCATCAGCATAGCAGTACATTCCTAAAAGCTGTCCGCTGCTATTTCTGTGAGAAGATTCTCACTTTTACCCACAGTGACCTTTCAATGAAATCTGAACACACTGCATGAAAAACTGATCAAATTTTGCAATGTTGCCAAGGTTCCAAATTGCTGACAGCTACTAGAGTGCTGAAAGTTACCTTGTGTAAAACATTACTGAGCCCAACCATTTTTTAATTTTTTTTAAAGGCAATAGTTAAATTACAGTACAATTAAAAATGCTATTTCTTATATAGGATGTATACACAATTAACACATTTAAATGCAAAGATTAAATATGAAAAAACACACCAATATAATTAAGATTTCTACCTTGATGATAAATTGACTGGATTAGTTTTGACCTGATTTCTCGGGAGAATACTTCACCCTACCGATACTTAGCTATTCTAGTATCATACAGATGTTCTGAAGATATTTTATATAAAGACCGTTTAAAGTAACATGGTCTGTTCAAATCCAGCTTAGTAGCTTGTCTGTTACTTTGCCTATCATGAATTTCAACATTTTTATTCAATGTTTTATTCACTGCCATTCCAAAGATGATACATAATTTCATAGCCATGCCAAAAGTTTCAATATGATTTGAAGATACTAAGTACTTCTTTTTTTAAACAGCATTACACTTTAGCCAATACTGAATTGTTTTTAAAAACTTGATGGCTGATGCTTGTGCACTGATTTAGCAATAGTAAACAGCTATGCATATATACAGCAACAGTGAGCGAATCAATCCCCAAAATCTTCCATGGGAAGATCATGGAACAGATCCTCCTGGAAGCTATGCTAAGGCACATGGAGGACAGGGAGGTGATTCGAGACAGCCAGCATGGCTTCACCAAGGGCAAGTCCTGCCTGACCAACCTAGTGGCATTCTATGATGGGGTGACTACATCAGTGGACA